GCGCTCGTAGTTGGCGGTGACGGCAGAGCCCATGATCACGATGAAGCCCCTCCTGTCTGCGAGCTCGGGCCCTTCGGGGAAGATGCGGCGGCGGTGGCGGCCGAGCCCGGCAGCAATCACGGGGCGAACGGTTGCGCCAGAATCGCGAAGCCCGATGGCGCGAGCAATAGCTCTCGTTGTGGTGGGCCCCCCCTGGCGGCCCCAATGACGATGACCTCGAAGAGAGGCGCGTTGCTGAAGATTGCGAGTGAGCCGAGCCACTTCTTGGACGATCAGCTTGCGCTGGCGCCTAGCCCCCGCTGGTGCGAGTCCAGCCCCGTCAATGCTGTCCGTCGGGAAGCTGGAGCAACGCTGACCCGCGGGGCCGTAAAAAGCGACCGGGCCGATGGCCTGTTCAGCGACGCGGGCGGCGGCGGCGTTGCTCAGCGCAGGTGCAGAATAGCATGGCCGCCAAGCCCTTGATCTGATTTGGCTGCGCAGTCCCGGCGGTCTCCAGGCTTGCGTGGACGCAAAAATTTGGACGCCCGAAATGGGTGCGGAAAAATGCGCACAATGCCCAACAACAAATGTTGTCCCAAACCAACAGCGGCCGCTGTTGGGCAGGCGGTCTTCTGTCTCAAATGTACACGGGCCGCGGCGACACCGACAGCGAGTCATGTTCAAAATGAGCAAGAACTGCCGTTGGGCATTGTACCCATTTTTCCCGCGCCCATTTCGGGCGCCCAGAAGAAAAAATCGATGCCAGACAGGGGGAACAATCCAATCCACGGCCGTCGCCGCCTGTGCGATTGCCAGGAAGCACGCGGGCAAGTCGCGCGGGATCTCGGCGAGGGGTGCGAAGCGCTGTCTCCATCGCGATTGTTCTCGTTTGGCAGTGACCGCCAGGCGCGGTCGCCCGCAGGCGCGCGGACGGGCCTTCGCGTCGAAGGAGGGCAATGCGCTGGCGTTGACGTCGACCACGGCCAGAAAGAGACGCGCGTTGGAACCGGCTGCGGCCACTTGTCTACCGGCATGCCAAGCATCGGGAACCCTGCCATCTCTGCTGCCACCAGATCATGGCTGTGAACGCGCATGACTGGCATCTCGAAGCCCGCAGCGTGTTTGGAAATGCGCGGCGTAGTAGTGCGCCCGCGCAGTCGGGCGAAGAGTGGCTGGCGGGGCGGGGCAAGACGGCGCCTCCACCCAGACGGCCGAGCTGCCTTTGCCGCGCCGTTCGGGGCGGCCACGGGAACGGGCCCAGCGCGTGCAGGAAGCCCAGCGACGCGGGGCTCGAGGTCAAGCTGAGGGGGCTTTCTTCCTGAGGGACGGCGCAAGCTGTCGCATCTTGGTCCGCCGATTCCTGTCGTCGCGGCGTCGATGCCCTTGCGCGCGCCAGCGCGTGAGGTGGGCAGTATAGGGCTTCCTGAAGCCGAAGACGAAGTGGCCGTTCCTGCACGCGCCCTCCTCGCTGCCGAAGGCGAGGCGAGAGAGGGGGGGGGCGGGCGCTCGAGATGTGGCGCTGTCGCTAGAAGAGGAAGCGTCGTCCGAGGCAGGTCTGCCAGAATTCGAAAAATCCGTCGAGAAAGCAGCAGGCGCCGACGGGGAATCGGAAGCCCTGAGAAGCTGGTCTTATGCAGGAGAAGTCGAGCTTACGCTGAGCGGTGAGGATCGCGAGGGCCCAGCAGCGAAGGTGCTCCGCGATCGCGCGGGCGCCCTGAAGGGTGCAGTTCATGCGTTCCTAGATCTATTGCGCTGATCCACTGCCATGGAAATCGCACCGCTGCCCGCTCAAGGAATAGCCGCAACTGCGGGCCCGCTGCAAATGTCACCACTGCACGCCCCGGGCGCCACTGCGACGCCATCCACGGCATTGGCCCCGCTGCCCGCCGATTCGCGCGCAGCCTGAGGAGCTAGATCGGCATGCCTTGGACCTGGTTCAAATTGTCGTGGAGCTTGTCGGCCCCCCCGCGCTGGTAGAAGGCGGCGAAGGCAACAAGGCGCAACTGGCGCCGGCGGTGAACCGCCAACCTGGTCACCTGGGAGCCTCGTAGAGCTCCTTAGACGCGCAAGAGTGCTCCGAATCGACGCACAGAGGTTCTCGGAGCATTTCTTGAAAAACGTAAAATTTGCAGTATTCGATGTCAACCTGAGTTCCAAATATTTCGATAGAAAAATCCTTCGGGAGAGCTCAGCTTCTGGCAGAACAAAGTTTAGACGCTAATGCTGGACGTAAAAATCTTGCATCTCAAAATGAATGGTCAAATATCTTTCAAATACGAGCAAAACCGACCAACAAATACCACTTTGTCTCTTCTGGTCGGGTCGACCAACTAGCTCCACCCCGCGCCGGAATTCCTCTAGCTCATCGATAACGAAGAGCTCTACGAGGTACTTGGCACTGGCAAAGGTCGTCAGCGCCATGGGGGCGGATGTAATCGGCATCAGTGACAGTGGTGCTCCATGGCGACCAGCGTCTGTTGAATCCACCGCAGTGCGCCCTCCGCATTGTAGAGGGTGGCATTGTCGGCAGCACTGATGTCTTCGTTGATCGGCACATTGGTCAACGCATCCTGGTTCCCCCGAATGACCGTTTCAAAGTCAATGCGGATGAAAGCTCCAGCTTGGCCGTCGGGAAGGCGTCGCAGAATGCGCGCCCTTGATCGCGACGCGCGCGCCAATCTTGGACGCGGTGCTGGGGCCGACGCAGCGACGAGAACTTCTGCGTCAGAGTCTCCAATCTGACGCGGCGAAGGTTCTCGCCGAGCTCGACTAGCAGCGGCGCGCGTCGGCCATGATTGATGACGCAACCTCGCGGGGTCGGCGCTGCGAGCGCGCGGTATCCCGCGCGTCCTGGGGGCAGGAGAACGCGGGCCAGCGCCGCTGCCCGAGGCGCGGCGACGCCGCGGCCCCCGAGAGCTCGCAGGATGGAGCGCCGGCTGGGCCCATCCCTATGCATTCGGAAATGCTGCGACCCAAGCGCGTTGCCCCTACCCGCCCGGCAATGGAAGCGCGCGCCGCTGCTGGGGCAAAGGGCTGCGCGCATAAGAGGGAGAACGCGGCGGGATCTGGGTCGCGATTCCAGACTGGGAGCTTGGCCATGCCCAGGATGGGCGCGCCGGCGTCGGAGAGGATCAGATGCTGGCTGACGCGATGGATGGTGTCCCATACTGGTTTGCGTTGAACCTCCTGTCTAGCTTGGGCTTGCTTGGTGGCCGTGAGATCCTGTTCTTGCCCATCGAAGCGACGGCGACTGGGGTTCGCGGCTTCGCGGCGCTGAAGGGCCGTGGGAAGCTGCTTCTGGGGTAGTTATAACGCGTTGCCGGCTGCGTTCTGGATGCCGCTGGCTTGCGAGGCCAACATGCGCTGTAGTTCAAGCTGAATGTCGGGGTCGAGTGAAGACTGTGGCCGCTGTGGGTGCTGTAACGAGAGGGCATCTCCACCTGCAGTTCCCGTGCCTTCAACAGGCCCACGCGCAGGTTCGAGGTCCTTCCACTGGAGCAGGCGCTGCGGCTGCGGAAGCTGCGGCTGCGGCGGTGAAGGAAGACTGCTGTTGAGATGCGCGAGCTGCATGAGCGGCAAGCTACTATCCTTGTTCCTGCGATGGGGAAGTGGAAGTTGACAGCGTTGCCATCCAGCTTGTTCGGCTGCGGCGTGGAATCTCGCTGGCGGAGCGTATTTATCTTTGCTAAGTGGTCCCAGCGAGCGTTCGCTCTGCCCTTTTGTGTCGAGGCTGGCCTTCCGCAGAAAAAATAAGAATGACGACGTCTATGTTGACAGCGTTATCGATCATGGTCTCTGCCTCTATCACGGCACGTCTGTGGTCTGAATCACGGCGGTAACGGTCTCTTCTGCTCCGATGTCCAATGGTATTTCTCTGGCTTTTGGAATCACCGCGAGACGAGTTTCTGCCTGTGTCCATGCAGTAGCGTTCAGGCAGGCAGCTCCACGAACTGCCTGTCCGATGCGAAGTGAGAGAAGAGCCAACCCACATATCTGCATGTGACCTCATGTGAACCCGTCACCGTGCCGCTGGGCACGCTGCGGGCGTGTTCTCAAGTCCTTTTCCCAATACCCTGGGCCTCGGTCCTCAGTCCTGAGGAGTCTTTCAAGGGCCCGGCCCCCAATTTCCGAAATCTCCTGGAGCTTGGCGCGTGCCCCCTGGGCTTTGGGAAATGGTGGCGCGTGACTTTTCCAAGACCGAAAAAGGCCCCGAAACGGGACAAAAGGGCCCCAACCCGCTTCCAAAACGGCCCAAAAAGGGTTCCGAAAAGCCCAGACATCGGCGCAATACGCCCAGATGGCCCCCAGAAGGCCCGAGAGGCCCCCAAGACGCCCCAAGAGACCAAAATCATGTACTTGTCTTATGTGTTTGAAGGTTTTTGGTTTTCTCGCCGTTTCGGCTTCCCGACGCTCCCAGACGGCCCCAGGAGGCCCCAAATACCGTCCCAAAACAACCCGAGAGAGCCCCAAGACCGCCCAAGAGGCGCCCAAAACGGCCCCAAAACGGCTCAAGAGAGGGAGCACGAACCGGAAATCCAAGCCTTCCGCCTCCAAGAAACACCCAGGAACCGCACTCGAGAGGCCCCAAGAGTTCTCCGAGACTCCCGAAACAGGCCCCAAAGCGGCCCTCAAGAGGCGTCCAAACTGCCTCCAAGAGGCCCTCGAGAGGCCTCCCACGAGATCCCAACGAACATCCAATAGGCTCCATACCCACAACCCAGGCATGGTGGCGGGATGGGCCGAAGGCCGTTCGATTACATTGAAGTAAGAATGATGCGAACGTGAAGCTCGTAGTTTTGATATGGAAGGGCACCGCAAGCTGGGCAGCCGTGGGCAGGCCTCGGGACCTGGAAACGCGAAGCTGAACGGCCAGCTGTCTTGGGAAATGTTTTACTTGAGCCAAATGGCTTGAGCCAGAATGGATACAATGGATAAGGCGAGGAGGAGAAGGAGGATGAAGAGGATGGGGACGAGGGAGGAGGATGACGGAGATGCGGAAGAGGGAGGATGACGCACAACTGGGGGGCTATCAAATGACAAGCTGGCGAATAGGAGAGAGGAGGGATTGGAGACGTAGCAGGAATATAGCGAAGTATCGGATGGTGGAGGAGCATTTTTCATTGAGTGAGGATGGGTGAGGCGACCGTGCGAACCTATTAATGTAATATACAATTGGAAATCATGTCTCCGTGGATGGCCGTCAACCGCATCCTTAGAAGGCGAGCGCCTTCATATAGGCCCCTTCCCTTGGAACCCTCCAGCTGGAGATTGTCTTGCTCTGACCCATTGCCAGCCATCTCCTTAGCCTGAGCCCTCTCAGCCTTGCGACACTGCCACCACCTGACGGTCTGTATCCCTGGACGTCGGCAAAGCTGGGGTCTGGCTCCCTTCCCAGACCTCCGGCGTGGTGGCTATTTGCCTGGCCCCAGGGTAAGATGAAGCCAGGTTGAGCATAACATCGGGTGAGGATAAATCGAGAATCTCTGAGATCCAGCAGCTCTGGAAGACGGAGCGGGCGCCGCTGCCTTCTCGGAACGTTCCGAGGGCGTTCCAGAACGCTCTGAAACGGATTTATCCTCGTCCTGGCCCCGTCCAACAGGAGCCTGTTCTTTTACGACCCCGGCAAATTTACTTGCATGGACGGGGGGTAGCGCCTGAACCTGACGCAAGCCGCAAACGACTTGCACGTGCGGCAATCACGCAAGCCGAAAGGCACTTGCACGCTGGTGTTCGTTTGAAGAGTGGCGAGGGGGGCGGGAGGCGGGGGGAGAGGGGGGGTGCGAACGCCATGCAAGCAACCTTGCTCGACCCTAAAAGAAGCAGGCTCGTACGAGCACCGCCGCACCGGCCAATGTCCTGAGGGGCTGGTCCGGGAGCGCGGCCCGAGCGCCGAAGAGTCGCGAACGAGCGACGTCGGAGGTCCGGGCGGCCCGCAGGGAGCAAACTCTGGCTGGCGGGTTCCGACGGCCCACGGGTCGGGGCCCGGCGTTTCTCCGCGGTGCTCCGCGGTGCGGCGGTGGTGCGCGGCGCCGGCGGCTACCTCTGGATGGCCATCCTCGACTGCCCGGGCGCCGCCTCCAGCTTGGCCAGCGAGCCTGAGGGGGGGAGGCCCAGGCCAAGGGTCGCGCGAGGAGCGCCCCCAGGGGGAGGGGAGCGGGGGCAGGGAGCCAGGAGCGGGAGGAGGGAGGAAGGCGAAGGGGGAAGGAGGTGGGGGACGGGGCGAAAAACACAGAAGAGGGGGAGACAGGTAGGAGAGGGATGGGGGTGATGATGATGCTGCTGCTGATGATGATGACGATGATGATGATGATGATGATGATGATGATGATGACGATGATGATGATGATGATGATGATGATGACGATGATGATGATGATGACGATGACGATAGTGATGATGGTGATGATGCTGACGACGATAGCGATGATGATGATGATGGCGATGACGTTGATGATGCTGATGATGACGCTGATGTTGATGATGCTGATGACGAGAATACTGATGATGATAGTTATGATGATGGTGGTAATGTTAAGCACGATGAGAAGGATGATGTTGCTGATGATGATATTAATGATAATTCTTATGATGGTGGTGGCGACGATGATCCTGCGGCTGATGATTATCCTGATGATGATGATGGTGATGATTATGATGATGTTGGAATTGACGACGACGATGGTGATGAGGAGGGTGGTGATGATGATTGGGACGTTGGGGATGGTGATAGTGACGCTGACAATGATGATGACGATGACGATGATGTTGGTGGTGATGCTGCTGATGATGATTTTGATGATGATGATGATGATGACGACGATGACGAGGAGGATGAACAACGCCAATCATCCCAATATGCACCCTTGATGCTGCATGCGCCTCCCCGTCAAACGCTCCGTTCCCACAGGCGGTTGCACGCAGCCCATCTTGCACCACGGCCAGCACCCGCTGGCCGTGGTGATGGCCTCGCGAGCCTGCACTGCGAGAGCCGCACGTGTCTCGAGCCTCGAGCGACAAGCTTTTGCTAAGCGTGTCGCTGCAGCGGCCCCCGCGAGACACGCTATGAGCTGCAAACTTAAAGCGTGTCGCTCCGTTCCGCGTGGCAGGCCGATGGGAAAAGCTCGGGACGTTGACGCTTAAGGACTGGGACATGGGTAGCGTGTTGTGCGGTGCGGAGGCGTGGTGGGCCTGGCGCCACACGCTGAGCGAAAATTGCCGACCGTATTTAGGAGAACCGAAAGTTACCGATACCGCTGTTTATCGAGACTGACGCCCATGATTTCGAAGCGAATCCGGCCGTGGCATTAGGAGGGACGGGCTCTCCCGGGGTGCGTGGTGCCCATGATTTCGAAGTGAATGTGGCTGTGGCAACGAAGGACGGGTAGCGATATCGATATCTTTACCTCCTCTAGATATCAATTTGCGGCGTGACCCACGGTTCAACAGGAGGTTCAGGCAGAACCGCCCTCCACCCACATCGCTTGTATGAAAATTTGTTGTTGAAGTGAACAGAACCGATGACATCTCGAGTTGTCAACTCTGGATGCAGGCCCAACCAGCGTTAAAACTGTTGAAGCAGATTTTCTACCCAAACATCGTAGATACGAGCATCAAGGGGGAAAACGATGTTAAATACCATGCCTCGGCGTGCGCCTACAAAGAAGAAAGGTCTTGAGTAATCTTACGCCGGACGAAAAAAAACGGCTGTGGCGGCACCTGTGGATCACCCTACAGGATCAACGCTAAAAAAAGGCCCTGCCTAACTCACATCGCTAGTACGAACATTGAGAATGTGCGCGGAGCAATTGCGATAATGCGTTTTGAAGGAAGCCCGTCCCTCATTCGCATAGCTGGTGGGAAGTCCAGTCACCATGACCGTGCAATTTAAGGAGGCTTCTAGCGGGAATCAGATGCTGAAGCGCAACCGCTCTCCATTCTTGTGACGGTTGAGTTGTCAAGATCGAGCAACGTCAAGCGCAACGGGCAGTTCCAGCGAGAAACACATTTTGAAAACCGACCGCCGCCCATCCGAGTAGCGGTTGGGAGACGTCATGCCGAACGCGCGCGGCGCCAAGGCGAGAACACAGCTTCGGACCGAGGCCCCGTTCGTTATTCGTGCGAAGCTGGAGGCTTCAGGCCGCGGCGGCCACACCGTCCGCCGCCTCATGCACCTTCTCCTGCACCTCCTTCTCCTGCACCTGCTTGGTCTTCCTCCTCCCCCCCGCCTCCTTTCACTACTTTTTCCTACTCACTTTCGCCGCATCTCCCTGTCCTCATCCTCCTCATCCTCCTCATCCTCTCCTTCTCTTTTCTTCCTCCTCCTCCTCCTCTTCCTCTCCCTCTTTTTCTTCCTGTCTCCTCCTCCTCCTCCTCCTCCTCCTCCTGCTCCTCCTCCTGCTCATACTCCTGCTCCCCCTTCTGCCCCCTCCTCGTCCTACTCCCTCCCCTTCCTCCCCCCTCCTCCTGCCCCTCCTCCTGCTCCTCCTCCATCTCCCTGTCCCCCCCCCTCCCTCCTCATCCCCCTCCAGGCGCAACACAAACGCCCAAGGTGCCCCCCCTCCCTTGGAGGCAGGAGGCCGCCCCCCAGTCCCGGCGCCCCCCGAGGGAAATGCGCGTGCGTCTCTGCACCAGAACCACCGAGACCTCGAGGGCAATCTGGTCGCGGCGACGAGAAATCTTTTGCCTGGAGGCTCAGAACAAGTGGAACTGCCAGAAAACCGACTCCAGCAACCCTGAAACACCAAACATGCTGGCGCCCCACTATAGTTTTGGCATGAATCGAACGGGTCCTCAAGGAAGCGGGCCCTGGACTCCTAGACTCCAGAGCCCTCCCCCAGGACCAGTCTTTCTTTCGGAGCTGTCCTCAAGAGCTCCTGGGGCCCGTGGTGTGCCCAGAGAACCCGATAACGGCGAAACGAATCAGGTCCCATGAGCATCGTTTAACCGACCCCTATCCCCATGGGCGTAGCCTGGGCCCCACTGGCAGATTTATCCCCCTGGATGGGGATACAGGCTGCTCCCTTGGAATTTTGAAGGGTATATCCCCAACTGGGGGGTGAGATGGTGGGGGCTTAGCTGCCCCGACACGCGAGACGCAACACGTAACGTATTGATACGGAGCTCAACACGTAGACTGATAACGCAGGCCTGACGCCATACATTCGCAAAACGTGGGCCAATACGAGGAGCCAACACGCAACGCATCGGCACGAACTCTTTGAGCACGGCGTATCAGAACGGGCGTACCGAGGCAGCTGAGGGTGGGGGGTCCGGACGGGGATGGTGATACAGGGGGTCAATTCGGCGATGCGGATTTCCCCTGACCTTCCACCGTCTGCAGCCCGCGGAGCCGCCGCTGTGCTGCCTCCCCGGTTCCCGCCCGCCTCCCTGCCGAAGGGCGGGGCGCGCGCGCGCCCTACAAAGCAAAGAGGCGCCCTGAGGGAAGCGGGTCCTACAGCCGGACCTGGGCCGGAAGAGCATCCTCCGAGAACATGTGGCCCTTCGTCGGCAACAACAAACAGAACATTCAAGGATACCCTCCCCAGGATGGAGAAAAGTATCCAGCAAACACGAAGAACACTAGGGCACCCTCCCCGAACCGATCTCGATCTTTCGGTCCGACTGTACACCGAGGGGCTTCATCCTGAGAGAAGCGAGCGAAGCGGGTGTTCAGCCCGAGTCGGATTTCGACGGCCCTAGGGCTCATGGAGGAGAATCCCACGGCTTTGAAAACAATGCAAAACTTGTTGCGGGTCCTTTTTCGCTTGGCATCCGCTTGCTCCATGCTGGCGAAATCCGCCCGAAAAACATCCTGGAGCCCGAAACCTTCTCCAGAAGCCGCCCCCCCACGTCACGGAGCCTGCGGTCATCTCCGCGAGCTTCGCGCGGAACGCCTCCAAGCCCTGCTGGGCGACGCTGGTGACCACCCGGTTGTCCTCGCTGAGGCCCATGGTGTTCTCCTGGGAATGTCAACTCAAAGTTCTGCTGTTAAAAACCGGAGAAAAAACGAAAACCATGTTTTCCTGGGTTTCGCCTGGATGCGAGAGGGGTGTCAGGGAAAACCCGTGGAATCGAGCCTATTCCAAAACCAGAGTGGGCTTGATGTTCCCCACACCCTCGCCGTCGTCGTCGTCGTCGTCGTCGTCGTCGTCGTCGTCGTCGTCATCATCGTCGTCCTTGTCGTCGTCGTCGGCGTCATCCTCCTCCCGCATCCTCTCCTCCTCCTTCTCCCTCCTCTCCTTCGGAGAAGGAAAGCTCGTGCTCATCATCCCTTATCCTTCTCCCTCCACTTCCACCTCCACTGGTGAAGGCGGACGTCTTGTTCGGGAACCCTTCGCGTGTTGCAAGGTTCAGAAATGGCAAACAATCAAGCGAGTTAAAGGACCTCTGGGTGTAACACACTTCCCTGCTCATCTGGCCAGGCCTTGCAGTCTGGGGACAAACGGCTCGCCTCCAAAGCCTTGATCACCCTTTACCCCTGCCTCCCCCCAGACCTGGGACCACAACGGGCCACTGGCACGAGAACCGCTGCCACCGCAGACTTCAAGCCAAAACGCGCCTCTCGTGACATGAATTCGGTGGGTGGGGTGCAAGGCGGCCGGCATGCCAACGCAGGCTCCCCCCCCTGCCACCCTGCGAGATCACCGCCCTCAGGCCGGGCCCCACACCCCCCGCACCTCCATCCCTGGCGGTTCTTGAGGGGGCGATGGGCGGTGGTGCGGCGCGCCCGATTTGCAGCAGCGGCGAGAGCAGCACGCAGCTCCGTGGCCTCTGCAGTCCTGACGGCCTTCGACGAGGGGTCGTGCAAACAAAACTTTGGCCTCTCTGGCCGCGAACATGTGTTCCTGCACCTGGAAACAGTGTCGGGCCGCCTGCATAAGTCGAGCCACCTCGTTCGCTGAAGCCTGACAAGCATGAACCCTCGCCCAAGCCCATGTCCTCGTGCAGGCCAAAGACTGGAACGGTGCTACCGCCAGACCGAGGAGGAGTAGCGCTGCCAGCAGCTTTACCAGCGGGACCCAGTGGCGCAACCCTGTCTCCTTGAGCATGTCCAGGAACGTCTTCCAGGAGTCCGACCTGAGCATGGTCTTGGCCCCGGGGGCCTTTGCTAACGCGTATGCGATGAATCAGTCTGGCGCCCATGCCTGTGCTGATACTTCGACGCGCATTCGTATGCACCAGCTACTTCTTTGCTTTCTCGATCTCGGCCGCGAACTCATCCATCTGCTTGTCCATATGCCGTTGCCAGATTTCGTGCCTCCAAAAAGACCTTCCTGCGGACCTCGACCTTCTTAGCCAAAAGTCAGTGCTTTTTCTCCAGGTCCGCGAGCTAGTATCCCACGTTCGTGTGCTGAGTGAGCGACGACTTGGTACTCTGTGCTTCTCGTTGTGCCCCCCTCTGCTTGCCACGCAGGCGCTCGATGCCATCCTTGTCCACATCTGGGTCCAGGCCTTTCTGCATTCGGACCAACATGCGAATGCGCTCACGAAGCTTTTTAGCAGGTCCGCCGCTGGAGCCCCCCTCTCCACCTTCCCCGCTGGGCACCAGTCGCAGGTGTCGCCGTCCCCCGATGCTGGTTCTCGAGCGAGGCCCGATCGGTGGAGGTGAGGTGAGCGATGGAATTGTTCGTACCCTCGAGCTGCTTTGCCAAATTCGTTCGACGACGCTCCTGGGGGCGCTGTCCCCTCATGCGCACAGAACCCTGCTCGCGCAGTTGCTGCTCCTCCCACTAGCGCAACCCCGTGAGGGTTCCTTCGGCCCTGGTGGGACTGCTGGCTCTGTAGCCCCAAGTCGCATCATGCGCCTCACCACAGTCTTTGGAGCTTCGGTTATAAACTTCAACGGCGAAGGACCCAACCATGGCCAGGTTTCAGCACCGCGTTGTGGGTAGTGCTGTCGGTGGAGCTCTCTGTTGGGCCGCGATGTGAAGGGGTGTACTGCAATGGGAGGGGGGCCACATGCGAACACTGCCATTGGAGCCTTCCTTTCGATGGAGCTCCCTATAGGGTCATGGTCCTTGTGATCGGTTTGCCGACATGGGGGGGGGGACCGCATGCGAACCTTGCCACTGGGGCCTTCGGTGGAGCTCCCTATGGGGACACGATCCTCGTGAGTGGTGTGTGGAAATGGCAATTCGGTGGAAGTCCCTGTGGGGCCAAGAACGTGTGAAGATATACCGACCTGTGCGGGATGCCGGCATGCGGGGGCGCTGCTACTGGGACCTTCGGTGGTGCTCCCTGCGGGGCCACGGTCCTCCTGAAGAGTGTGCCGCACTGGGCGGGGCGACGCCATGCGGGCGCTGCCACTGGGGCCCTCGGTGGAGCTCCATGTGGAATCACGAAACTTGCGGGTGGTACCCAGAAGTGCGCGGGGTGCCAGCATGCGGGCGCTGCCAGGGGCCTTCGGTGAAGCTCCCTGTGGAGCCACGATTCTCGCAAGGGGTGTGCCGAAATGGGCGGGGGGACGCCATGAGGGTGCTGCCGCTAGGGCCTTCGGTGGATCTTCCTGTGGGTCACGCATCGTTTGAGGGGTGAGCCGACATGGACACGCGGAGGACAAAGGCGGGGAAGGGAGGAGGAAGGAGAGGGAGGAGGAGAGGAGAGGAGGAGGATACGCGGGGCGTTGCTGATTCAAGACGAGGACACAACACCACAGGATGGATGGCTGGGAACAAATCCCCAACAGGGGTGTAGGTCAGCGTGCAGCGCCCCCTCGATCAGGTGTCGCACAGCGGCGGAAATCACACGCTCGAGGCCTGGCGACGCGGATTTCAAACCTGAGCCAACATTGCTACGGAGGAATGTCTCCACCTCCTCCTCCTCCTCCTCCTCCTCCTCCTCCTCCTCCTCCTCCTGCCCCCCCCCTCCGCCCGCCGTCCCCTCCCTCCCATCCCTGCATATCCTGCTCATGCCCCCCCTGGTGTTCCTTCTCCCCTGATCGTCCTCCTCCCTCTGCTGCTGCTCCTCCTGCTTATTCTACATCCTGTCCGGCCTCTGATTGGAAGCCTCAGGACGTCTTCCTCCGCCCCCCCCTACTGCTCCTGTTCTTCCTCCTACTCCTCCTCCCGCTCCTCCCCCACCTTCCCCTCCTCAACCTCCTCTGCCTCCCTCCTCCCTCCTGCACTTTCTCAAGCTCGCCCCCCAATCCCACCCCTCGCTGTCCTCGCCTCACCCCCTTCTCCTCATCCTCCTCGTCATCACCCTCCTCCACCTCTTGCTCCTCCTCTTGCTCCTCCTCTTGCTCCCCCTCCTCCTCCTCCTCCCGGATCCACCTTCCACTATTCCTGACACTCCTCCGTCGACCCCTTTCCCTCCCTTTCTCCCTCCTCCCCCTCTCCTGTCCCCATCATCATCCTGCCTCCGCTCCGCCCTAAGGCTCTCCTGGGAGGTCGCGATCTGCACGCCCTTCTTCATCGTCATCTTCTCCAGGATGTCCAGGCGCTTCATCTCGGCCTCTGCGGGGCAGGCTCGGGCTGGACGGCCATTCAGCAGGCTGGCGGAGAAGGAGGGGAGGAGAGAGGGGAGGCGGGGGAGCGGGTCGGAGGGACCACGAGGGGGAGGACATTGATCAGCAGCAGAAGCATGAGGATGAGGATCAAGAACAGGACGACGGCGAGTGTAAGGGGGTGTCAGTGGCTGCGCTTGCATGCTGCCATCCCCCTCACTTTGGTACACCCCTCACACGTTTCGCGGCCCCGTAGGGAGCTCCACCGACGGCCCCAGTGGCTGCATTCGCGTGCGCCCCCACCCCACCCCCCAAGACGGCCCAAGGTGCCCAAAACGGCCCAACAGGGCCCCAAGACGACCCCAATAGGTGCCCAAGAGAGGGAGCACGAACCAAAAATTCAGAGCCTTCCGACCCAACAAGCCCCCGGAGCCCCAAGGGACCCAAAAGAGGCCCCCAAAAGGCCCCCAAGAGCCTCCAAACTGCCTCCGAGAGGCCCCCGAGAAGCCTCCCACGAGATCCCAACGAACATCAAATAGGTTTCATACCCACAGCTCAAGGTCGGTGGCGGAATGGGCCGAAGGCCATTCGATCCGCCGCCCCCTGTTGATTCATCACAGGGGTGCCTGGCGTGCTAGACTATTACGGTTTTGGTTTTAGTTCTTTTTCCAAAAGACCTCCCCCTAGGGCTTCGGCACGTCCCGCCGGGGTCCCGGGAAGGATCTCAAAACGCGTCCGTCATGCCTCCGTCATCGCCCAATACGGCCGTTTCGCTCGGGACATCCTCCAAAAATCGCGAAGATGGCCCAATATGGCCTCCAAGTCCGCCCAAAATGGTCTAAGACGGCCTCCAAGACGGCCCAAGAGAGTCCAAGACGGCCCAAGACGGCTCAAGAGGCCTCCAAGACGGCCCCAGAGGCCTCCAAGAGGTCCTCCAGGAGGGCCCGAAGAGGCCAAAATCATTGATTTTCCAGAGGTGTTTGAAGGATTTTGGAATTTGCTTCTTCTCGGCATTCCGACGGCTCAAGACGGCCCAAGAGGCTCCCAAGATCGCCCAAGAGGCCACCAAGAGGGCCCCATGACGGCCCAAGTGGCCTCCAAGACGGCCCCAAGAGGGCCCCAAGACGGCCCAAGAGGCCTCCAACACGCCCAAGATGGCCTCCAAGACGCCCAAGATGGCCTCCAATACGGCCCCGAAGCGCCCCAAGAGGGCCCCCAGTCGGCCCAGAAAGGCCCCCAAGACGGCTCGCAACGGCGTCAGACGTGCCAGGAACCCACCAAGATGGACGAAGTTGGCTCGAAGCTGGCCCAAGACGTCCCACAAGGCCCCCAAGAGGGCCTCCAGGAAGGCCAGAAGAGGCCAAAAACCTGCATGTTCCTGAAGTTTTTCACGGATTTCGGCATTTCCTTCTTTTCGGCCTTCCGACGGCCCGAGACCGCCCCAGAGCCCCCAAAGATCGCCGAAAGATCGCCCAAGAGGCCTCCAAGATGGCCCCAGAACGGCCCAAGAGGGCCCCAAAAGGCCCCCAAGACGGTACAGGAGGCCTTTAAGACGCCCAAGATGGCCTCCAAGACGG